ATATATTAGAATTATAAACAAACTGAATTTGCGGAAGTGAAATTTTGCCAAATTAAAAAGTAAAGCATAATAATGACCATATTTGCTAAATTTCTTAATTATGACGGCAAATAAAAATAAATTAGGCGCTGTTCCAGTTTTATCCGACATACGACAATAATTACGACATTTAAGAATAATTACGATGATTGGTAATTACGACATTTGCCCCATTACAATAATTGGCTTTGACAGTAATTCGTCAGTCTTTGATAATTCTCTTTATTTCCTTTTGAAAACATTCTAAATATATTTACTTATATTTTACTTACCAGCAAGATAATAAAGTGTTGGTAGCCAATCGGAAATGTGCATCAAATGATCTGAAACTTTAGGTTTTTCTAGTTCTAACAACGTACTCCATATGAGACCAACAGATCGCACTCCTCCTTCCCATAATGTATACTGTGATCCCCTAAGTGGCCAATTAGAGGCTGATCCCATACTAGGATCACCACCATTGTCCGAACTAAGGATGATTATTGAATTTGTCAGCATATCTTTTTTATATAATGCATTAAACACCTGTCCCACTGATTCATCTAAAGATGTGATCATACCTGAAAGGCATATTTTAAAATAATTATTCTTGATAGACAAATAGTAATTAACAAGTTGCTGATATATTAGCTTGCTTTTCACAAAATATTTTGCTTGAGCGAAATATTTAGATATTAAAAAAAATTTCATTTGATTCTAAAAATAGTGGCAATAGATTTAAAGTTTCAGTTCCTTTAGTGCTTAAGAGGTTGCCCCTTTGGCTGGATATGTCGGACTGTCTCCCACTTCGCCCCCCCCCCACGCATGCCTCTGATGTGGTATGAGTGGCTTCGCGATAATGTAAAATAAGTTACCACACATTAAATTATTAAAGATTATTCTAATTCTGATTGTACCCTTTTTCCAGATACTATTTGTTAAAACTCATTTAAACACAGTTGAAAAATAAACATTTGAAACATAAAATGATGATTAAATATATAATCACAAGAAACTGAAGCGGTAAGTATTACTTGATCAAAAACTTCATTCGCTTCAAAAATATAATAAGAAATAACATTCGACGTGCCCCAACCTCAAATGGAAAAATAAAGGTGAGAAACAAAACAAGAAAAGCCACAGTAGCCGAGAGAAAAAAGAAGATGAAAAACAGAATGAGAAAAACCACATTGGCTGAAAGGGACAAATTTACATTTTACCATTTTGCAATTAACATTAATTTGCATTTTACCCTGATTTGCGTCTGTTTTTGAGAGCTTGAAATATGTCGACTCTCATTTCCTATTTATAAATTTTTGAAAAGAATGAAGTTTTTAACATTATTCATTTTACTCTGTAGGAAATTCGAAGTAATGGATAGGAAGCACTTGATGGAATGTTCGGCTGTGCACGGAGACTCAGAAGTGAACAGATATTGGAGTGCTAGTCATCTGCTAATGAGTAATTGACTTTTTTCTCTTATCTATGTTTATTCTTCTTGTTAAGAGTTTGTCAATCTCTGCCATTGGAAAATTAAAAAAAACATTATTCATTTTTTTTTAATTATTATTCCACTTATAGCATTGAACTGTTCGAAAAATTAGAGAGAGAAGGATAGGATCTACGCTACACGGACAATAAACCTCTTCGACCAGAAAATCACTGGCAATATCTATGAGGTTTTGAGTTATCAACCGTAAAAATAATATCCTACACAAAATTTTTCTCTCATAATACAAACACGTGGTCAAGGCTATTATTTTCTTCCTCATTGCTCTGTCACAGTCGTTGCTCTTAAAATTTAAGTATTTGCAATTTTATTAAAATGTATTTACTCTTCTATTAAATTTGTATTGGGAAAATTTGTATTTAAAATTAAGTTTTCCTTTTTAAAATCATCGGTATCACCTACCGACTACAAAAATGAAGAAACTCTCAGTCTAATTCAAGCATTCATAAAATTTTAGATATTAACACAGCTCTAAAATAATTTATGTGTACAATTTAAGTACGTATTGGATTATTAAAATACTGTAAGAAATTTTTCATTATTAATATGAATTTTTTAAAATAAATACTTACTCGATCATGCTTGAATTGTTTTTATACGAAAGTTAATCTCACATAGGTACACATTTAGGCAAAATTTTTTGGAATTGTATTATTCAATTCACGTTTATTTGGAAGTAAATTATTTGCTATTTAATGTGTAATGAGCTTTTATACAAAATTAAAAAAATTAATGCAACATTTTCAATATAGTTTCATAATTTTTTTAAAAAATATTTTATTTTTGAAACTTTTAATGCATAGAGGTTCAATTAAAATTTACTATACATGAAGCATTTTTAAAAAAAGACATGACGCGAAAACGTCAGATCGAAAATACAGGAAAAAAATGGAAAAACAGTAGTACTTTAGTTTCATTAACATCTTTGCTGGTTTATAGGTTTTCACATCAATTAAACGCGAAAACTCAACTAACTATACTAGTATATATTAATAGACTCAAAAAATTGCGCTCATGCATGTTAAGTTGTAATTTAGTCAATACTTTGTACTTGATGCCCTTTTACGGACATATTATTTTAGTTTGAAATCATACAGTTGCAGCAAAAAAAATCACAGTTTACACCTGCAAACTTGCAATTGCATTGATTACGTAAACAAAAAAGAGGAATAAGAAATGGATATTAGCCTGAAATAAAAGCTTAAAAATACGACTTTCTAGAAATTTTATAACTCAAAAACTATTCAGCCGAATTGGTAGAAATTTTGTATATTGTTACTTAAAATTACATTGTTAAAAGTTCCGTAAAGGATTTTACAGGTTACAATTCATATTTTTCCGATTTATAAATAAATAAGTAAATAAAAAATAATAAATAATTATTAAAAAATATTTTTCGCCCACTATTGTATTAATATATTTTGCTTTGGCTATATTGATACAATATCAGAAAGCACTCTTTTTTGCAGATATAATCGTGTGGGCTGATGAAAAGATTATATCTTTTACTTTCCGGTTTTTTTAAAAAATTTCATCCTTTTTTTTTTTTTATTTATTTATTTTTTTTTTTATATTTGTTGTTTGTTGTTTGTTATTTTTACCATTATTATTTCCCTCCCCCCTTTCGCATATGTCTATAATTTTCCTTTGTTTTATCTTCATTTTGTTTTATGTTCATATTGTCTGTTAATATATGGCACCATTTTTTCCCCGCCATTTAATTTGTTTTTTAGTTTTTAGCTTATATTGTTAATCTGTATATTCAATGTGTGATCTATGAAATAGAAACATTTTTCAATTTTTTTAACATACTTTATCTTTTTTCTTCAAAAAACAAAAGAACTCTCGACGAACTTGGTTTCAACGAAAAATAAAATAGAAAAGAATATTTTTAAAAAAAAAACCTGCATATGATCTCCTATTCTCATCTTTGATATGGTTGTTTCTCTCATACAAATCAGGTGGAGACTGAAGAGGTATAAATGAATTGCCTGCACGAACAGCACTATGAGAAATTAATAGAAACAGAGGCTAAAAAGAATTTAATTAAATTACTTTCGTGCATACAAAATATACTTTTGTTTTAAAACAATATATTTAATTAAGTTAAAAGAACAAGCTTTTATAAACGGTTATGCATAATAAGAAAAAGACGCAAGTCTTTCACAGCACTAAAAGTAGTTCATTCTACATAGAAAGTTCACCAATCTCAGTTAACCAATCAGTTAGAAAATCGACTTTTTGAATACATATTTAGATTCTTTTTACTCTAAATTTGTTTGCTTAAACATACTGCAGCTACTAAAATGTATTATTTATTATCTATATATTGGTATGAGTTGAGACTCATGCTACTTCTCTCTAACGCGGGAATTGAAATTACTTTGGAATGAAGTATTCATAATAAATTTGATGAAATTTTGTTGGAATATATTAAACAAGCACTCACAAAACAAATCCTAAATTTCATTTTATTAAACTTTCTGAGGTAATTTAAGANATTTGATTCTGATGATTCTTTCATGGTGTTGCATTTTCTACAAACAGCAGTTTATATATTGGTATGAGTTGAGACTCATGCTACTTCTCTCTAACGCGTAAATTGAAATTACTTTGGAATGAAATATTCATAATAAATTTGATGAAATTTTGTTGGAATAAATTAAACAAGCACTCACAAAACAAATCCTAAATTTCATTTTATTAAACTTTCTGAGGTAATTTAAGATACAAATTTAAATATTGTATTTTAAGATGTATTTTTACAATTTTAAATATTTTATAGTATGATTGATGTGTGTGTACCCACACTTAAATATGCTCCAATATTTTAATATTTGTCATTATTCTGTGGTTTTTAAAATACGATGTTTATTACAATTCGAGAGAAATTTTTAGTCACTCTTAAACACTCTTATAATCAGAGTTTCAACAATAAATTTAAGTAACATAATTGAATAAATAGAAACCTGTAATTCATCATGATCCATTATTAATGAAACTGCTTTATTCGTAAATACATCTGTTGCATATTCGCCTCTAAAATCAGTAATAATTTTTTCGTTTTCCCACAAATCTACTCCAAATATTTCGGTAGGCTGTAAGAAAGAAAGATATTTTACCTTTATTTATTAGTATAAACAGTATAAAACTTATCACGAAATGAAAAAAAACTATATGATGAGCAAAAGGAAATAAATTCATTTGAAATTAAGGTCAGAAGATATAGTCTCTTGCTAGGGTCAGCATCATAAAGCGTATATCCCGTTCGCGATTTTCCAATCCAGCTACGTTTAACAACCCGGTTTCCTATTTGGCATTTTCTTAAATTCAGTAAAGAAAACTTGATTTTTTATTTTCTAGTTCGGATATCAAATTTTAAAAGAAATAAAAGCTTGCATTATTTTTTTTTCGTGGTTAATGGCGAGCATTTGGGTCTATTTCCCATTGGCCTCAAAAATTCCAGAACAGCTACTCTCTTCTCGTTACCCAGTAAGCACCTATGGCCAAGCCACGGTGGTGGAGCAGCGTCGCCCACGTCACACAACCACAAACCCGTTTATAGGGCGGGTCACATTCACATAATCACACAGAAGAAAGGACATGCACAGAGAGCAAAAGAAACATCCGTGCCCAGAGTGGGAATCGAACCCGCAACCCATAGGCTCCGCAGTCAGGCATGCTAACCACTTGGCCACCTGGTCGGCAAAGCTTTCATTATAAGTGCAACCAACTACAACCCAGAGAAAAAATCTCAACAAAAAAAAAGATCGAGTTGTTAAAACTGTCGAATTGTAAATTAGCATCCCGTTCATGAAAGTCAAGTCATTTCTAAAACTTTTTTTAACGTCAAGATATTTTTTTTATTAGAAATTGTTTTTGTGTTAAACAGTTACTGATTATATGTATAAATCATAATTTTTGTCAAATATTATCTGTATAAATAAACAAAACTATATAGTATCACAATAAGTTTCGAGTTTTATGTTATAATTTAAATAAGAAAATTTTCCTGCACGCACTGATTTAAAACAAAATTAGCTCACTATTACATGGTTTCGGTTGTTCCAACTTGTCCCGTGTACTAATAATGATTAAAAAAAAAATATTTGAATGCAATCATTACGCCTGTTAACTAGTAGTAAACTCAGTCTTTAAAAGCACTTCTTACTTTAAATATTTGTCTACATTCTTTATCAAACTTTTTTCATCCGCTGAATTATTCAATTTCTGAGTGTTTTATAGGCTGATTTTAATTCATAAGAATCATAAGTCTGTTTTCTTTTTATAATATAGTCTACCTATATATAGGATATTTACATAATAGTTTTGTAAAAAATATTAAATCTTAAGCAATTCAAAGTTGGATACATGTTCCATGAAAAAACTTATCCTTACTCATCATAGTGTGCACCAACCATCACATAATTTTAAAGAAATGTAAACACATAATTAAAAAAATTATGTCAAAATAGTCTGTAATTTTTTATGCTAAAAATACGTAGTGAGCAGATTTAAAAAAAAGCGGACCAACCTGAATAACTTTTAATCTAATAATCAGATCCATAAGGACTCAATCTTAATGGTTCGAGGGTATAACCTCAAATATGCTAGTTAATTAGTGCTAGCATATTTTAAGTTATGAAATCGAATGTAAAAACATACTTTCTCTGAATAAACATACCTTTTTTTTTTCAATGGATTGAAATTTCTGACACCCGAATGGGATAGCCGTAATCTGGGTAATATGGTCCAAATAGTTTGGTCAGAAGAGCGGTTCAAAGCTTGAACCACTTAATGTTACTTTTGTATATTTTTGCCACTTAATTTTTGCGTATTTCGCTATATCTCGAGAACTTCATAAGAGAATTGAAAAATTGTTGCACTCAATTATAAATTTCGTTTATCCAAAGACAGTTCCATGCAAAAAAGTAACTTTTAGTAAATATTTATTTTTTTGTTTAATAATAGTCGAAAAAAATTTGAACTGCATGGTATACATTATTTATGCGTTAGTATACATTATTATTGCATGGTATACATATTTTAAAGAATGGTAAAAATGTTTTCTAACCCTAAAAATATAGAGTGTCATCGCAGTTTGAGAAAACTTTCACACTCAATTATAAACTACCTTATCCAAATATATTTCCATGCAAAGAACAATTTTCAGTTTTTATTAATTTTTATTATTTTACTGAATAAGTAATCGAAAAAATTATGAATTGTAAAGCATATACATCATTTTAAAAAATGTAATTTTAAAAAGCAAAATATAAAATTTGAACGAAATCGATCAAATAGTTCCTGAGAAATTTAATTTCATATATATTCATATTTGATCGATTTCGTTCAAATTTTTGTATTTTGCCATCAAAAATTAAATTTTTTTAAAAGATGTAAAAATTTCAATAAATTTTTCAAAAATTTTTGTCTGTTATTAAACAAAATAATAAAAAAAATTAATTTTTATTAAAAAAAATTTTTTTAAACGAATTTTTGCGTTCAAACATCCAAACATTTTTTAATTCGATTTAAAAGTTCTCGAAATATAATTAAGTATACAGAAAGTAAATATGCTTGTTTATTCAGAGCAAGTACGTTTTTTGCGTCTTATTTCGTAACTTAAAATATCATCTGCACTAATTAACTACTATATTTGTGGTAATTGTCACCTCTTCTAACCATTAAGATTGCGTACGTCAGAATTTGAGAAATAGGCAAAAAATCATTTAAGGTGCTTCACTTCATCTGTTTTTTTTTTTTTTTTTTTTTTTTTTTTTTTTTTTTTTTTTTTTTTTTTT